GGAGATGTATCAGTGAAAATTCTGCTGTGTATGATGTCTGAAATTTTGATGCCTACATTTTCTTCTAGAATTTTTATGGATTCATGGGTCACATTTAAGTCTTTTATCCATTTTGAGTTTATTCGTGTGTAGGGTGTAAGTTGATGGTCTAGTTTCATTTTTTTGCATGTAGCTGTCCAATTTTCCCAACACCGTTTATTAAAGAGGCTGTCTTTACTCCACTGTATGCTCTTGCCACCTTTGTCAAATATTAATTGAGCATATTGCCTTGGGTCCATTTATGGGTTCTCAGTTCTGTTCCACTGGTCTATATGCCTGTTCTTGTGCCAGTACCAGGCTGTTTTGATTACAGTCACTTTGTAGTATAACCTGATATCTGGTATTGTGATCCCACCTACTTTGTCCTTTTTCAAAATTGCTGTGGCTATTCGGGGACTTTTTTGATTCCATATGAACTTTTGAAATAATTGTTCTAGTTCTGTGAAATATGTCGTGGTATTTTAATGGGGATTGCATTGAATCTATAGATTGCTTTGGGTAGTATGGACATTTTAATGATGTTAATTCTTCCAATCCATGAACAAGATATGTGCCTCCACTTTTTTGTATCTTCCTCTATTTCTTTTTCAATGTCCTGTTGTCCTGTAGTTTTCTGCAAATAGTTTCTTTACTTCTTTGGTTAAGTTTATTCCTGGGTATCTTAATTTATTGGCCGAGATGGTAAGTGGGATTGTTTTTTTAGTTTCTCTTTCTGTGAGTTCATCATTGGTGTATATGAATGCTGTTGATTTCTAGACATTAATTTTGTATCCTGCTACTTTGCCAAATGTATTTATTAAGTCTAGTAGATTTTCAATGGAGTCCTTAGGGTTTTCTATGTATAATATCATGTCATTTGCAGATAATGACAGTTTCACTTCCTCCTTTCCAATTTGGATCCCTTTTATTTTTTCTTCATGTCTGATTGCTGTGGCCAAGACTTCCAGTACTATGTTAAATAAGAGTGGCGAAAGTGCGCATCCTTGTCTTGTTCCTGTTCTTAAGGGATATGTTTTTAGTTTCTGCCCATTGAGTATGATGTTGGCTGTAGGTCTTTCATATATGGCCTTTATTATGTCGAGATATGATCCCTCTATTCCCACATTGCTGAGCGTTTTTATCAGAAATGGATGTTGGATTTTGTCAAATGCTTTTTCAGCGTCGATTGATATGATCATGTGGTTTTTATTCTTCATTTTGTTTATGTGGTGTATCACAATTATTGATTTGTGAATATTGTACCAACCTTGCATCCCTGGAATTAATCCCACTTGGTCATGGTGAATAATTTTTTTGATGTATTGCTGGATCTGATTTCCTATTATTTTGTTCAGGATTTTGGCGTCTATGTTCATCAGGGATATTGGCCTGTAGTTTTCTATCTTTGTAGTCTCTTTTTCTGGTTTTGGAATTAGAATTATGCTGGCCTCATAGAATGAGTTTGGAAGTCTTCCTTCTTCTTGAATGTTGTGAAATAATTTGAGGAGAATGGGTGTTAGTTCTTTTTCAGTGTTCAGTACAACTCCCCCATGAAGCTATCTGGGCCTGGGCTTTTGTTTGCTGGGAGAGTCTTTATTACTTCTTCAATTTCCTTAGTAGTTATTGATCTGTTCCCAATAAGAGATAGTTTTCTATCTCTTCCCAGTCCAGTTTTGGGAGACTGTGTGTTTCTAGAAATTTGTCCATTTCGCTTAGACTGTCTAATTTGTTGCCATATAGTTGTTCATAGTAGCTGTTAACAATCTTTTGCATTTCTGTGGTGTCGGGTGTTACTTTTCCTCTTTTATTTCTGATTTTGCGTATTTGGGTTCTCTCTCTTTGTTTCTTGGTGAGTCCAGCTAAGGGTCCATCAATCTTGTTTATCTTTACGAAAAACCAGCTCTTTGTTTCATTGATCCTTTGAATTGTTTTTTTGGTCTCCTTGTCATTTATTTCTGCTCTGATCTTTACTATTTCTTTCCACTTACTTGCTCTGGGGTTTTCTTTTTGTTTACTTTAATTCTTTAAGTTGTGAGGTTAGTCAATTAGAAATTTTTCTTGTGTCTTGAGGTAGGCCTGTAGTGCTATGAACTTCCCTCTCAGAACTGCTTTTGCTGCATCGCATAGATTTTGTGTTGTTGTGTGTTCATTTTCATTGGTTTCCAGCACGTTTTTAATTTCTTCCTTGATTTCCTCAGTAACCCATTCATTGTTTAATAACATGCTATTTAGCCTCCATGTGTTCAAATGTCTTTGCGTGTTCTTGTTGCTATTGATTTTTAGTTTCATGCCATTGTGATCTAAGAAGATGCTTGATATGATTTCAATCTTCTTGAACTTGTAGAGATTTAGTTTGTCCTCCTATCATGTGGTCTATCTTTGGGAATGTCCCATGTGCACTTGAGAAGAATGTGAATTCTGATTTTTTTTTTGTTTTTTGGTACAGGCCCCTAGTGGGAACTGAACCCGGGACTCTGTGGTCCGCAGGCCAGAGAAGAATGTGAATTCTGTAGTTTTGGGGTGTAATTCTCTGTAGATATCTATTAAATCCATTTTGTCTAGTGCTTCATTTAGAGTCTCTGTTTCCTTGCTAATTTTTTTGTCTAGAGGATCTATCCAGTGGTATCCACGGGGTGTTGAAGTCCCTGCTATGATTGTGTTGCTGTAGATTTCTTCTTGGAAGTCCTCCAGAAGATTTTAAATATATTTAGGTGCTCCTATATTGGGTGCATATATGTTTATCAAGGTTATATCTTCCTGTTGGATAGATCCTTTCAATATTATGTAGTGGCCTTCTTTGTCTCTAGTTATGGTGTTCATTTTGAAATCTATTTTATCAGATATGAGTATTGCTACCCCAGCTTTTTTTTTTTTTGCTTTCTGTTTGCTTGAGAGATTATTTTCCATCCCTTCAATTTCAACCTATGTGAGTCTCTTGTTGTGAGGTGGGTCTCTTGTAAACAACATATAGATGAGTCATGCTTTCTTATCCAATCAGCTACTCTGTGTCTTTTTATTAGAGCATTCAGTCCTTTTACATTTAAGGTGATTATAGATATGTATTTATTTATTGCCATTTTTTTTAGGGTCGTTATATTTTTCTTCCTATTTCTTCTACTAATTACAGTAGTCCTTTTAACATTTCTTGCAGTGCTGGTTTGGTGCTAATGTATTTCCTTAGCCTTTTTTTGTCTGGGAAGCTCTTTATTTGACCTTCTATTTTGAATGATAGCCTTGCTGGGTAGAGTAGTTGGATTCAGATCCTTGTTTTTCATGACCTTGATACCTCATGCCATTCCCTTCTGGCCTGTAGTGTAACTTGTGAGAAGTCAGCTGAGAGCCTTATGGGGTTTCCTTTGTAGGTTACCTGTTGCTTATCTCTTGCTGCTTTTAGGATTCTCTCTTTGTCTTTAATTTTTGGCATTTTAATTACTATGTGTCTTGGTATGGGCCTGTTTGGGTTCTTCTTACTTGGGGCTCTCTGTGCTTCTTAAACTTGAATGCCTTCTTCCTTCACCAAGTTAGGGAAGTTTTCTGTCACTATTGCTTTGAATATATTCTCTAACCCTCGATCATTTTATTCTTCTTCGAGGACTCCTATGATACGAATATTATTACGTTTCCAGTTGTCCCACAGTCCTCTTAAGCTGTCTTCCTGTTTTTTAGTTTTTTTCCTTTTGGTTTTCTGATTGGTTGATTTTTTCTACTCTGTCTTCTAATTCACTGATCCGGTCCTCAGCTTCTTCTGCTCTGCTTTTTAGACCTTCCAATGTGTTTTTGATTTCTGATATGTCAATTTTGATCTCTTCTTGGTGGTTTTTAATTTCCAATTGGTATATTTTCAGCATCTCTATGTCCTTACTCATGCTGTTGAGCTTCCTGAAGATCATGGCTCTGAATTCTAGCTCTGTTAACTAGCCTAACTGCTTTACATTGATCTAATTTTCGGTGGCGGTCTTTTGTTCTTTCATTTGGCTTTTGTTTCTGTTTCACCATTTTGGCTATCACAGTGGGCTTTGGAGCCTGTCAAGTTGTCCCTGTGGGTGTTGGTGTTCTGCTGTTCATGGCTCCTTCTCCTGGGTTTAGATGAGCGAGGGAGGACCCATGTTAAACACCATTGTCAAGTCTTACTTTTCCTGGTTAAAGTTGCTAGCCCAGTTATGGTACTGTTATCCTCTAGCTTTTTGCCTGGAGGCTAGCAGTCCAGGTTACTTGAAGAGTGTTGGGTTGTCAGTTGATTGAAAAACTCCTTCAGGTGCTCAGCATAAGGGGATTTCCCTGAGGGTGGGGCAGATGCTGGTTGTTAAGGAGCCCAATTAGCATTTCAATGCCCCACAGGGTTGGGTTGGATCTTCGAGGGAGGGGCTGCTGCCTCTCCCCAGAGCCCTGGGAAGGAGCAAGATGGCCACCGTCTTGCGTGGCAGCAACTCAGCAAAAGCTCTGAGTGCCCTCCAAATCCCAGGTGTCCCCACACAGTTCCAGTCCAGTCTGCCCTCCCTCTGCCGAAGCCCAAGGTGAGTGGCTATGGGTTTTTTAGCCTCTGTACCGGCTCTGCGCTGTGGAGCCGCCTGGGAGTGTAACCCGAGGCGCTGGTTCCAGCTAAGGCCGCTGCTGTCTGTGGGCTCCCAGCCCCCATCTCGCGCCTTCACAATCCTACCAGGATCGAGTCAGTGTCTTTGGTTGGATGGTCCTCGCAAGCTGCTTTTTTGTTGTTTTTTCCCGTCAATTTGTCTGTGTTATAGTTGTAATTCCAGTTTGGTTCTGGTAGACGGTCTGTGTAGCTTCCGTTCATTCTGCCACCATTTTGAAATCAACATACTCGATTTTAAAGAAAAGTAATAAACAGCCTACCTACAGAAAGACTGTTCTAGGTTAAGCACCTAATCATTCATTTTTGGAGTACCAGAAGGTCATTTTTTTCCTTCTTAAATTGGATGAGAAACAATGACTGAAGTGGGAAATGTCCTACTTTTCTGTTACAGCGGAAGTTGGGGCAGGTGATAATAGAAGAGGAAGTTTGTCTTTGCTACCTTCTCTGTTCATTGACTCCTCTTCTTACCCCAGTTTGGGAAACAGTACGTATTGTGAACATATCAACAATTGTTGCAAGTTTCAGAGGGTATGAGACAGACATATAACTTGAGGATTTGACTTTAAGATGTATGACTTTAGTCCAGGCAGTGTGGCTCAGTGGTTGAGCTTCTACCTATGCATGAAGAGGTCAGGAGTTCGATTTCCGATCAGGACACATGCCCAGGTTGTGGGCCAAATCCCCAGTAGGAGGCATGCAGGAGGCGGCCATTGATGTTCTCTCCCATCGATGTTTCTCTTTCTCTCTCCCTCTTACTCCTTTTCTCTCTAAAATTAATAAAGGAAAATTAAAAACAAACAAAAAAACTATGACTTTAGGGGAAAAGCTAACCAAAAGGTATCTTTTGAAGAAAGGTCTCAATTTCTACTCTGTCCCTTAAATCTAGATACTCTTCAGGATTATCTGCTTAACTCTCATCTCCACAGCATGTATGTTGTCCCTGCATTTACCCACAGCACAACTGTTATCTCTCTACTGATCACTACTAGCTCTGTACCTCTCAATTTTTCTCACAGACTTAACTCAAACTTTCCAGTTGCCTCCCAGATTTATGCCTATGTCACTTTCATACATCGTATTTATCACATCATTATCTCTCACTGACCTGCCTACTCACCAGCCCATTTCCCTGTACTACCTACCAGGGTAATGTGGTTAATGGCACCTCCACCTTCACAGTTATGAGAACTAAAAATCTAAGAATCATCTTTAGCTGCTGCTCTCCTTCATGTACTAGCCAAATCCTTAGTTACCAAGTAATTTTTTTGCACACTGTTACTAAGTTCTCCCTTTCTTTCTGTTCCTACTGCCGTGTGTGTGTGTGTGCATACATTGTGGGCTTTTTATTTTATTTGCAACCACTCTGTAAAATAGGTTTTATTATCTTGTTAAAAATATGACATTTATGGAGTAGGTGCAAAGAATTGAATTAACTTGCTGTTCCAACACCAAGGAAATGGTGAATAGGGTTATTTGATGTTAGTCCAGTCTCTTTCCACTAAGAACTCTTTCACCTAACATATAAGGTCCTTCTCTATTTTATATCCATCCACTAACCTTTCTGTGCTTTGTACTTTCTCTCTGGGTATCTTATGTTAGCCATATGGAAACATTCCAGTCTTATGAGATGGTCACCTCTAAGCCTTTGCCTTCACCTGGTTCTCAGCTTGTTGATCCTGCTCCATTTCCTCAAGTCACGTCTATGTAGTCTTCCTCACTGGTTCCATCCCCACTGACACTACCATATGTCACACCACACTGTCACTACCTCCAGGGGATTACTACAAATATTGTTGGGTTAAAATTACTATTTTTTTTTTTTATATTACCAGCTAGAATGTGATCTTGTTGAGGGTAGTGACTCTTACTCTTTTTTAAAGTTTTATTAGCCTTAACTATAGTTTGGAGCTAAAAAGGTGTTCTCTTTATAAGAAGATGCATGTTATACTTTATACCTATTCTGAAGGAAACTATAACCATAGAGTTAATCTTGGGAAATTGTTTGGCACATACCTGGCTTATTTGTGTATTTACATACATTAAATATTTCTTGAAGGCTTACTAGTGCAAAACACTGTACCAGGTGTTTGAGACAGAAGGAAAGATACCTCGAGGAGGACAGGAGACTGATTGAAATAAGGCCAACATTTTTCTGTATGGTCAGAGAAAAAATGTGCCTACAGAAAAAATGTGCCTACTTGAGCAGGTGGTATGAATTGGGATTATGAAAAATTTTAATGACACAGACCTTATTCTCAGAGAACAGTTTTGATATTGTTCTCTTAGCAGAGTGCTTGCCGTTTAATAGGAAGTCAGTAAATTATTTATTTAATGAAGGAATGAAGAACTGATTAATTTGCCTCAATGTAATGAAAAGTCTAAATTTAGGATGTTGGGGTATGGTGTTTTTTTTTTCTCTTGTACTGGCAAATATTTAAACTTGTAACCATCAAGGTAAAATCCAGAAACTCAAATTATTCATGGTAGTCTGAAGAAATTCTTTCTTTGAGACCTGTTGTTGATATGAGAAGATCAGTTTGCCATTATATGTTAGAATAGATCTGTATATAATTGCTTCCTGTTGTCATTTTTAAAAACTTTCTTAAAACTCCTCTAATACTTAGTTTTGTGTGTTAATGAATTATCCTTCAAAAGAGGATCCTTAATATATCTTATAAAATGTTTGTGCATAGTAGTTTCCCTCCTTATATGTTTGTTTTATTGTATTATTCCTTTCTTTAATGTAACTTGCCCTTACCCCTTATCCTCCACACCTTTTTTGTTTTTACAGTATCTCTTGCTCCTCCTCCTCCCTCCATCCTACAGGTAACTCCTCAGTTACCTTTAATGGGATTTGTGGCCAGAGTCCAAGAAAATAGTAAGTTTATGTCTTCTTTATGCTGTAGATCAGATTATAGGCAAAAAATGTCATTTATATGTGATTGGCTAAATATTCATTTGCTGATATTCAAGTATTTGAATATTATGAACATGTTGCTGTATGAGCAGCTAGTAGGGATGATAATATAATTAAGATGAAATTCTCTACTTTCACATAACTTAAAATCTGGTAGTGAAGAAAAGAAAATATAAAAGAAGGCACATGTAAGAAAAGAAAGATCACATCTGAGACAATACTCTTTAATCACCAGCTATCCCATGTTTTTTCTGGGATGCTCAAATAAGAAGTAGCCTAGTTTTTTACCACTGGAATTTTAGGGTTTTGTGGCTTGCCTGAGAATCTTCCTCTCTGGTCCTGTGATTCCAGGTATAAAAATGGCCATGCCATGGTAGGTCCCAGGGGACCAAATAGCCTTTCTGTTTCCCTTAGAGGCCTCATAGATTGGCAGTGAATTAACATTGGCTTGTGGTCTGGTGTTGAGCCATGCAGAATCACATAACTAATTTTACTGACAAATTGAGTCTTCTCCTAGGGAAGTATTTTTTTTTATATTTTTTATTTTTTTATCCTCACCCGAGGACATTTTCTCACTTTTTTGTTCAGGCAGAGTGGGAGAGAGAGAGAGGAACAGAGAGAGAGAGAGAAACATCGATGTGAAAGGAACACATCGAGTGGCTGCCACCGCACGACCCACCAGGGCCGGGGACAAACTGCAACCGAGGTACATGCCCTTAGCGGGAACCGAACCCGGGTCTCTCAGGACCGCAGGCCGACACTCTAACCGCTGAGCCAAACCGGCCAGGGCCTCCTAGGGAAGTATTAAGGAAGTTCAGGAGACTGATGTTTGCAAAGCACGAAGCCTGTATCAACATTCAGTGACAAACTGCTGTTACAGAGACCAGTGTCATAGTCTATATGGTAGATGAATTCTCTTGTGAGCAGTCTACATGAGGAGCTATGTCATAATCATAAGGTTGCTTGATGGGCATAGAATCTGAACAAGGGAAATTACATTAGTGAAAGATTTAATATCAGGCTGAAGTAGCCCATTAGCATCTCATAACAGGGATGGCCTCACCAATATGATAGAAATATTTGCACTCTGTTGCTTAGGACTCTTTCTCCTTTGGACACAGGCATTGCCAGTACTAGAATGGAAGCTCTGTGAGAGCAGGGATTTTTGCCTGTTTTGTTTATGGGCTGTTTGCCCAGCATTTAGAAAATCATCTGACACATAGCAGATACTTTTAGTCCCTCCTTTTTTGTGTTTCCCTAGTTAACTTAAATGCCCCCTTTTTATCGACAAATTTCTTTCTTGTGTTTTAACTGATTATAACCCAGTCTTACTGGACTGAGGGCTCAGTCTCTCTTCCAGATGCCTTTGCATCTCTACTTGCTAATTTCTGAAAATAGTCTGTGTTACTAATTGGAGGATATCCCATGAGTACCTCCAGTGTTTACACAATGTGATTGCCTTTTGAGTTATCTTTTCTCATTTCTTTACATAGTCTTATACACCTCTCAATTGCAACATGTATAAAAATAAGAAACTTTGTGTATGAGGTATACTGTGGTTGATTTAAATTTTTTTTCTTTATTGATTTTTTTTTTTTTTTACAGGGAGAGGGAGAGATAGAAACATCGATGAGAGAACATCATTTGGCCACCTCCTGCATGCCCCCCAACTGGGGATTTGGCCCACAACCTGGGCATGTGCCCTGACCGGGAATCGAACTGGGAAAACTGCATGGGTTGACACTCAACCACTGAGCCACACCAGCCGGTGGTTGATTCTAAAGACATAATAGGACTTAAACGTTCAAATGAATGTTGTCCTCTTCAAAACATTCACCTTGGAAAGATATATACTATATTTTGGGATTATTGTCATGGCTTTCAAGTACATTTTTTTGAAGGTACTCAGTGGTAGCAGACAATCACTCTGTAGTAAGATTGATGTTTGGAAGAAGTCTGGACTTATTTGGAACCAGTTATACTGTGCTAATTAGTGTAGCTATGATCCTGTTATTCTTCTTAAAATCCTTCAATGGCTCCCCATTGCTCTTTGGATAGAGTCAAACTGTTGCAAGGCCCTTCCTGCTGAGTACCTCTTCAGTTTCTTCATGACTCTTTCTGCTGAACTATGGTCAGTTCTTTGAAGGGTCCCTGCTTTCTTACCTTTGCATGTTTTTTCTTTACATCTGACATGAAATATCCATCCCCATTCCATCCCACCCCCTAGCCATTAACTCTTACTTATCTTCCAGGTTTCAGAAACCCATGTAAGAGGTTTGGTCTATTGCTGTATTTTCCATAATGACTTAAGATACTTACTACATTAATTACAAACAACAGTTTGTCCACAGTTTGTCCAAGACTTATGCCCACTGTTCTTTTCCTAGTGCTGAGCATAGGACCTACCCATAGTAGGCTTTCAGTGGATGTCTGTTGAGTGAATGATAAGCAAATATTACTTTAAAGTTAGTGTATTTGTCTCATCCCAAAGTATTGTAAACTTTTAAGATAATAAACATTGGAGTTCCAATTTCTGCTCTTTCACTTACTTCTGGGGGCTACTGAATCTTGGGAAAGCCATTTTCCACATCCATAAATTGAAGGTTAAAAATACCGCCTCCCAAGGTAAAGATTAAATGAAATGTATTGTAAAATGCTGGCTGAATAATTGGAATATTTTAAATAAAAAATGGCAGCTTTTGTTAATCGTATAGAACTGGCTCTCAAGTGGTTATTAGAAAAGGTAAAACAAGCAATGGCAACATCTTTGAGTAATTTTGTAATATAATTTCTCAAGGTGATTGTTTTGAAAGACAGAGTTCCTTTGGATGTGCTTTTGTGGAATTGTTTAAAGATAATCTCTTTGCCTTACAAATGCAAATAGGATATATTATTGATTCTTATCCCAACTATATGTAATTTGTCATAAAGTATATGCTAAAATCACATAGCTGTATGTTTTGTTTACTAAAAAACCCATTAGGACTAAAAGACATTTTGAAGTTCATAGTGTAGACACGTTGGTAAGTGCAGAGTGGCACAGCAGATAAGAAGATTACTGGAATAGGGCAGAGTATGAAGTCAATATGGAAAATCCCCACCAGGCATCAGCAGTCTTCTAAAATGCATATGATTCAATCAGTAGGTTTAGACAAAAAACAGTTTGCTCAGAAAATTTCATGGAAACAATACTGGTATCTCATAAATAAGAAATTGGACAACTGGTAGATGCAGCTGTCTTTATTCAGATTATTTTGTTGAGCTGTGCTCAAGTATGTTCCAAGCGTTTTAAAAGCTTTGAGTTCCTTAATTTGGAGATAATACTTAGACATTGCTCTTTTTTTTTTTTGCTTTGCCAAAGCAAGGCCACCAAAAATTTGGTTGCCTCCTACACGAAAAAAATGGGAGAGAGAGAACATAGACATTGCTCTTTGTTGATAACTGAGGTGTGGAAACAGATCTCAATAAAGAGACATTTAAAGTATTTTAAATCACTCTTGGATATTTACCTTGAAGAAATTCTGCATCATAAATTAATCTGAATTAGTTGATATTCTGTATATAAAGAAACCAAACCAAAACAAACACAAACATCTTCATGGATGAAGTTACCCAAAATGGTTTGTGATTTCTGCCCTTCTAATTTGGTGTAAGATGCTATTTTTAAAAAATTCATTGAGAGAAAGTAGCAGACTATTAAAATAATGAGTATTCACTGGAGTCACTCTAAGTTTTTATAAACTGAATATGGTTATAAATATCCAAATTATTAATATTTATGATAACTGCTCGCACTAACCCATGGGGAGGAGAAATTGGAAACATTATAGTTGTTGGAGGAATTCTCTTGCCTACTTAGTTTTTGAAAGATTATTTTCAAGCCTAGGTTTATAGTCTATGAACATAGAAGCTTGGCTTAGATAAGAAGTCTAGAACTTTGCATTAGGTGTAGTTTGTTATCAGCTTGGTACATTCTTAGTTTCAGATACACCACCCCCACCCCCACCTGTGGAAGAACCAGTCTTTGATGAATCCCCCCCTCCACCTCCTCCCCCAGAAGATTATGAAGAGGAGGAGGCAGCTGTGGTTGAATATAGTGATCCTTATGCTGAAGAGGACCCCCCATGGGCTCCAAGATCTTATTTGGAAAAGGGTAAGTCTCAGAGGGATGTCTGGAGAGGTGGAAAGAGATCTGCATATAAAAATGAAATTTACTGGTACTGAAGAGAATTTTGTTTTGATTTTTGCTTGTATTACATGTATATTGTTATTTAGTTTATAAATTTTATGGTTTTGAAAGTCATGCTAGTAAAATTCTGTGGCTATTTGATTTTTCCTTTTTCTTTTTCTTAATCCTCACCCGAGGATATTTTCCATTGATTTTTCAGACAGAGTGGGAGGGAGGGAAGGGGAAAGGGGAGAGAGAGAAAGAGAGAAACATCTATGTGAGAGAAACACATCAACTGGTTGCCTCCCTGATGACCCCGAACAGGACTGGGGACCAAACCTCCACCGAGATGCATGCCCTTGACTGGAATGGAACCCCCAACTCATTGGTCCGCAGGCTGATGCTCTAACCACTGAGCAATACCAGCCAGGGCTTGATTTTTTTATTGATGGTTATGTATTGTTCTTATTGAACATGCTCTTTATGGATGGTTTTTGTAAGATAAACATTAAAAAAAGAGGGTTTTACCCTGGCTGGTTTGGCTCAGCGGTTGAAGCATTGGCCTACAGACCAGAGTCCCGGGTTCGATTCCTGCTAGGACATGTATTAAAAACGTCAACCTTGTCGAACCAGAAAGCAAGGTGCATTTTTAGAAATTTAGTTCAGCATCACTGAGATTTTATGTTGGCCCCTTGGGGCAATGTTTTCAAGGGGACAGGCATAGTACGTTCACCTGCCACTCCAGTGAACAACACAGGGTCACTTAACTCGAATGTAGGTCGTCATGCCCCCACACCAAATTGTTAAAAAATAAAAAAAGAGGATTTTTCTGGCATGCCTCAGGAAGAGGATTTTTCCAAATTATTATTTATTCTTGCCCCCATGGTTTATAAAGCATTCTTTTGTGGCATCTTATCTCATATATTTCAGTTTAACTATATCCATAGAAACTTCATTCCAAAGAATAATGGTTTCTTAGTTCCTTTACAAAGTAGGCATTTATTTTATTGAAAAGTTTCTCTGAATATATTAGCTAATCATGACATGGTACTTTTGGGACACAAGCTTCCAAATCTTACCAGTATTAATCAGCTCAGAAAAAAAGTGTGCTTTTAAAATTTTTTTTTTAATATGTTTTTATTGACTTTTTAGAAAGAGAGGAATGAAAGAGAGATAGAAACATCTATGTGAGAAACATCGATTGGGTACCTCCTGCACACCCCCTACTGGGGATGGAGGCCAAAACCTGGGCATGTACCCTGACTGGGAATGGAATCGGGACCTCTCAGTCCATAGGATGACACTCAGTCCACTGAGCCACACCAGCCGGGCAGAAGTTTACTGTCTTACAGGAAGTTTTCCGTTAAGGAAATTAAAGCTACTCACTGGGTCTCAAAACTGACCCCGCATTTAGAATCACCTGGGGAATATATATTAAGAAATGGTAGACTTCTACTTCTGGCCAAAACAGAGCAATAGTAATCAGATTTATCCTGTCTCCTAAAACAGTTAGGAATCCAGAAAAAATAATAATAATAATAATAATGATGGTTTTGAGACATTGGACAACAGGCAGTGGTGGAGAGAAGGAACTCAAGGTGAGCCTTTGATTGTCCTGGTTTGCTACCTAGAGGTAGTTTCCAGGCCATAGTGCAAGGAGGTGGAATCTAAACAGAGCCTGGGCATTTCATTGCATAGAGAAGATAGAGATCAGAACTTTTGGAGGCTGCACAGAAGAGGTAGCTACACTAAGAGGACAGAGCTCTGGAGATCTCCAGAAGGGGGTCCCCTTGAGTCTTTGACAGTACTGATTTATACATGTGTGTGAAGAAACTACCTGATATGGAGAAAGAAAACCAGAAAGGAGTAAGCATAATAATTATTGAAAATGACACAGGCCTGGAAATAGTTTATGTTCCCAAACCAGTTAGAGTAGAAAGACTTATAATACACAAGATATTGAGAAGAGGCCTCAAAAGCATGTCCCCTTAGTGGTGGGGCCAAATTAGCTCTAGACTAAAGTTTGCTCTGGACTGCCCTAACAAATGTTTAGGAGCAAACCTTTGAAAACATCCAGCTGATTCCAAGTAGCTTAACTGAGCCCTACGACAAAATTCAACACTATTCAACAAAATCCAGTGCATTAAAAAGTCAGAATCGCAGTGTCCAACAGTCACTAAAAAATTACAAGGCATGTAAAAAAGCAGGAAAATATAACTCATAACTAAAAGAAAAGTCAGTCAATGAAAACAGACCCAGAAATGACCAAGATGATGGAATTACCAGACGAGGGTGTTATGTAGCTATTATAAATGCCACATATGTTCAAGAAGGTAAAGGAAAACATGAACAAAAGAGAGAACTGGAAAAAAAAATTTTTTTTTAATTTTTTAAAAAAATTTTTTATCCTCACCCGAGGATATTTTTCCATTTTTTGTACAGATAGAGTAGGAGGGAGAGAGAGGAAGGGAGAGAGAGAGAGAAACATCCACGTGAAGGGACACATCGAGTGGCTGCCACCCGCAAGACCAACCAGGGCCGGGGACAAACTGCAACCGAAGTACGTGCCCTTAGCGGGAACCGAACCCGGGTCTCTCCGGACTGCAGGCTGACGCTCTAACCGCGGAGCCAAACTGGCCAGGGCAAAAAAAAAAAATTTTTTTTTAAAGGAAAAACCCACATAGAATTTCTGGAGATGAAAAATACAGTATCTGGCCCTGGCCGGTTTGGCTCAGCGGTTGGAGCGTCGGCCTGCGGTACAGAGAGACCCAGGTTCGGTTCCCGCTAAGGGCACGTACCTCGGTTGCAGTTTGTCCCCGGCCCTGGTTGGTCGTGTGGGTGGCAGCCACTCGATGTGTCCCTTCACATTGATGTTTCTCTCTCTCTCTCTTCCTCTCCCTCCCTCCCGCTCTATCTGAACAAAAAATGGAAAAATGTCCTCGGGTGAGGATGAAAAGAAAAATACAGTATCTGAAGTGACACGTCAGAAGAAAAGATCAGCAACCTTGACGCAACAGAAACTACGCAAAATGATGCACGGAGAAAAAAACAAAACAAAAACTACAGATATGCGAAATAATATCAAATAGTTTTTATTTACAGAAGATAGGATCTCGTAGAAAATTCTAAGCAATCTACAAAAAGCTGATAGAACTAAAAAGTGAACTTAGTAAGATTGCAGGCTACAAGATACAAGATAAATTGTAGTTTTTAATATGCTTGCAACAAACAATTGGAGATTGAAAATTATGAAACAACTTTTGTAATAAAATATGAAATACTTAGGGATAAATGGAATGAAATATGTGAAAAACTTGCATGATGAAAACTAAAACATTAAGAGAAATTAATAAAGGCCTTAAATAGAGAACTGTAATATGCTCTTTGATTATTATTGAGACTGGTTTTCCCCAAATTGATCTATAAATAGAATGCAATCCCAGTAAAAATTCCAGAATTCAGTCTTATAGAAATTGACAAGAGGATTTTAAAAGTTATATGGAAATGCAAAAGACCTAGTATAAGTCAAAACAATTTTGAAAAGAAGTCTAATGTTGGAGGACTTAAACTACCTGATTTCAGAGTTCTAGTGGAAAGCTACAGTATTCAAGACAGTGTGGTGCTGGTGTAAGTATAGGAATATAAATCAATGGATTAGAATATAGAATCCAGAAATAAGATCCACACAAATTGTTTGACAAAGATGCCAAGGTAATCTGGTGAGGAAAGATAGTGTTTTAAACAAATAGTGTTGCAACAACTGGATATATCTATGTACAAAACATGAACTTCCACCCTTACCTCACAATACACATAAATTAATTTGAAATGTATTTTGGATCTGAATGTAAAACCTAAACTATACAACTCCTTGGGGAAAATGTAGGAGAAAAAGCTTTATATTCTGGCATTGGGAAAGAAAGCTTGTAGAGACCAGACAAGAAACATGAAGCTTAAAAGAAAAAAACTGATAAACTGAATTTCATTAATCTTTTCTTCAAAGATCCTGTTAAGAAAATGACAAGACAAGCCATACAGACTGGGGAAAATATTTGCAAAATAATTCACTAAGGTGACAAACAACCTGTAGGAAAAAAATATATTAACACACTTTACCACACAGATACGTGAATTGGTAACACCAAGTGTTAGAGAAAGTGTGGTGAAACTGGAGCTCTTATGCATAGTTGGTAATGTTTCAATCACTTTGGGAAACAGCTGGAGTTTCTTAGGAAGTCAGAGTATCCTACCAGCTGATCTGGCAGTTCCTTCCTGTGTTGTTTACTTAAGAGGAGTGAGGCCCAGCTGGTGTGGCTTAGTGGTTGAGCATCAAACCATGGACCAAGAGGTCCTGGTTCAATTCCCTGTCAGGGCACATGCCCGAGTTTCGGTCTCGATCCCCATGGGGGGCGGGGTACAGGAGACAGCCAATCGATGTGTCTCCCTCGTTGATGTTTTTTTCTCTCCCTCTCTCTTCCTCTCTAAAAATTAATTTAAAAAAATATTAAAGAAGAAGAAAAGAGTGGATATGTGTGTTCACACACAGACTTAAGTGTTTATAGTTGCTTTATTCATAATAACCAAAACCTGGAAACAACACAAATGTTTTTCAGTTAGTGAATAAACTAATTGTGGGATATCCATCTATTCGGTGAAATACTGTTCAGCAGTGAAAAAGAACAAAATACTATTATAAGCAACAGTATGGATGGGTTTGAAGTGTTACACTAATGAAAGAAAGACACTTACTTTATGACTCCATCTAAATGAAATCTAGAAGATCAGTGGTTTTCAGAGACCAGTACTGGTGGATGCAGGAATTTACAAAAGGACATAAGGAAATTTTGAGGTGATGGGAATGTTGTATGTGATCATTGTGGTGGTCGCTATACATATGTCATATATACAGGTGCATACATTTGTCAAAACACATTGAACTATACAATTAAATGCTTGTGTTTTGTGTCTAAATGAATACCTCACTAAAGCTGTTTTTTAAGGGGTAAGAAATGAGCCCAAGGTACTACTTAGGCATTGACATGTTTTACAAACTCTTTGTTTTAGGCAAAGTGGTAATAGTTTGCAGCTGTGAAAAAATACCTAAGTTACTCCTTAAGAGAACAGCACAATGAAGTTTTGCTTTCTAAAAACTTAACTCTTTAGTGAACATGTTATAAAAATCTGGAGAGATTTATAAGAGGAAAATAATTTTGTTTTGAGTCCAAGTGACTTTAAAGTTTTATGCCAGAATTGTTCCCTAAGATGTTTTTCAAGGTTTGGTTTTTTTCTGTTAAGTTCAGATCTTTTCAAATGTGGAAACCAAATAAGCTCTTCCTTTTTCTGGCAAAACAAAAATATAACCAACTGTTTTCAGCTTATGATTGCTTTTTTGTTTGCATGTGTATTAATGTTAAGGCTGTTGCCTAATGACTCGTTTTACTATCTTAGACCTTAGGACCTGGTTCTTAACCCTGCCTGCATATTAGAGTCCCCTAGGGAGTGTTTAATATGTCTGCACCTCCAGACCTATTAAATCAGAATCTGTGGATGTGGGACTGCGTCAGAATTTTTAGAAGTTACTCAGGTAATTCCGAGGTTGAGAACCACTGCTATAGGAGAAGGTTTATCTTAACCCTTGATTACTGCCCATACTAGCCAAGAGGAAAAAATATATATATAATCTTGATTTTAACTTTTGTAGAAAACATCTAGATATTTTCATGTATTTATTATGTGCCTGGCATAATGTAAGACTTATTACATATGTGGGATAGTTTACCTATCTTGCAAACTAGGAAATGAGGTTTAAATAATATTATAGAATATAACAGAAAGTGTTAGTGTTAGAGAAAAGACAGTAATAGTTGTTAATGATAATAAAGAAGCTAACATTTGTATGGACTGCTCCATACACAAGGTCCTGGGCTATGTGTTGTGTGTGCATCACCTTATTTAGTAGAACAGTGCTGTGAGGCGTTAGCACCATTATAGTTCTCATTATACATTGAGTAAAAAGTAGTTTAGGAAAGTTAAGTATGTTCTGTGAACTAATAACTGGTAGAGCTGGAATTTTAACTAGGTGGTATAACTGCGGAGCTCACATTCTTAACTATTCCTAAGCTGGAGCTTTGGTACACCTGGGATTGATTGAGTCTTGGCTATACAATTTACTAGCATCAGATTCTTCTATCTCTTCCTTCTATCAAGCCATCTGTTCTTGTATTCTTCCAGCTCAATGATGTTACTTCTTGGTAGAAGTATCAAAACATATGGTAATTTGTTGGATAACATTTCTGTCCTCACAAGACTAAGTTTGTCTTCTTCATCTTAGTATCTCTAAAAATCAGCATGGATGCTGCATTAATGATTGACAAAAAAAAATGAATAGTTCCCTTATTTCTGTCTGGGGATTCCAGAAAGCTTCTCAGAGGATATGGCATTTGTGATGTGCTCTGAATAACGAGTTTCTCAGAGAAGAGAGCTAGGAAGAGCCCAGAGAGAGGGAGTCCTCTGAGTGAAGGGGCACGTTGAGCAGTGCCATGTGCAAGGGGACATGGGTGGGCTGTAGGGAGAGAGTGGCTGGGATAATGAGTGTAGGAAGTTGTAATTAGTGATGGGAGGCCTTGAATACCACCTTGAGGAGTTTGAATCTTTTTCTTTTTTTAAAAATCTGATGGTAGGGAGAAAATTGTGGAAGATTTTTAAGCAGGTTAATGGTAAGTTCCTGTGTACGTATATCCTACCTTTTTTTAATCCTCACCTGAGGACATTTTTGCATTTATCTTCAGATAGAGCAGGAGGGGGGGGGGGAGAGAGAAACATCAATGGGAGAGAGACACATTGAGTGGTTGCCACCCACACGACCCCAACAGGGACCGGGGACTAACTACAACCAAGGTGTGTGCCCTTAGTGGGAACTGAACCCAGGACTCTGGTCTGCAGGCTGATGCTCTAACCACTGAGAAAAACTGGCCAGGGCAATCCTACCCTTTTTTTTTTTTTTTAAGTTACCTGATAATAGTGTAGAGTACATTGGGAAGGACAGTAGGAGTTGGGAAGACCAGGTTGAATACCTTTCTAAGGAAGAGATGAGGTCTTAACTAAGGCAGTGATGCTGAAAACCTTGTTCACATTAGTAAGTAGATGCAAATGGAAGTATTTTTTCATGTGGCATTGTCACTCAATTCTTTTTTTTTTTTTCTTCATTGATTTAAGAGAGAGAGAGGAAAGGAGAGAGAGAGAGAGAGAGAGAAGCATCAATGAGCGAGAACATCGATTGGCTGCCTCCTGCATGCTCCCCACTGGGGATCGGGCCCACAACCTGGGCATGTGCCCTGACTGGGAATCGAACCGGCGACCTCTTGGTGCATTGGTCAACACTCAACCACTGAGCCATACAGCCGGGCGTCACTCAATTCTTCTAACTTCTCCAGAGTTACTTTCCAAAAGCCAAGTAATGTTCTGTCTTTAAAAGTGTTTTATATGTCAGCTGATAACTCCATTAAAGTCTTAATTTTTGTTAAAATTAAAAGAATGGAGCCACATAACTTTAACTTGCAAAAGGTTGGGTTATTCAGTGGAGTAATTCTATTTCTATTTCTTACTACCACACCAATAGTTTGAATTGTTTCTTTGGAACCCAGACGTGTTTTGTGTTTTAAGACAGTGCACAGTGTCTTTTACTTACTTTTGTTAATAAGTAAAAGGATGATAAACAGGAAATCAGAACTTTTATGACTGATGCCTGACTGAAGGTATCATGTCAAGTAGGTCAGTTTTTGGAAGCAGTGTTTATAAGATTTTGGACTCTAGGAGTCTCTCCCAAATCATGCCACTCATACTGCTTAGAAAGTCTTCAGGTAACCCCAATGTTAACGTATATTCATTTTAAAGACCGCTGCACTGATGGGCAGTGGTGGTGGTGCTGGAGAAGTGTTGGATTTGAGAACTTTATGAGGCAGAATTAACAGGACTTGGGGATATTGTCCTTTGAATTACTGTTCAATGGATTTGAATTTCAGAAGCATCAAGAATGTTATCAACTAAAAAACATGCTAAAAAATATTAGGTTGACTAGAAATAGTAAATACATATCTTGTTTTCTTTTACATTTATAGTTAAACTTGTATGTCATTTAATTATGTATTTGTGTTTTAGGGGTTTAGTTATATTTTGACAAAAACACACCAACTTCTTCTTAGGCCCCTCTAACGTATTTTCTGACATCCTTAACAGATCACTGAATGGCAAATAGTTAGAGTTTAATAAAGCCATTTAAACCAGGCCAGAAATATAAATGAACTGGGGCAGTTTGCACTATATCAAAAATTCCTGTTGTAGTTTATGTTTCTTATTTATGTGAGGTTTAAAGTTGCACAAGAAACTAACAAAGTCAGTATATGCTTCTCAGAATGATGGATAGATGGAGATTGTGACTGAGTGAAATTCTGAGTGATATAAAAAAGGACAGAGGATCTTTTTATAAAGAAGTTAAATCTTCAAGTGGATTTGAGCAAATAAGCTATCCCAATTTAACTAAACTGCTGAGACAGGTGTAACACTTAGGAACCAGAAGCTGCCCTAGATATCATTGAAAGGCCCCATTACCATATTATTTCAGCAATGCAAATCTCAGGAGAGCTTATAGGTATCTTGGTTTTCATAACACTTTTAGTGTGTTATGGGGATATATTAAATTGGTAACATAATGCAGCATGTGTTTTGAAAGATGGTTGTAGTAGATTCCCATCATTAGCAGATACAACTTGTGGGAATTCAACAATCATCCTACTCAGTGAATAGGCATAGACTCCAGAAAATGAGGAGATGTAAATCTGCTTGCTGTTCTTTAGTCCATCTCATTTTTTCACTTGCATCTTGTAGTGTATCTCACTGCGCCAGTATAATTCTCCTGTTTATTATTATTTTTTTATCCTTACCCAAGGACATCTTTTTTTTTTTTTTTGCATTTATCTTCAGATAGAGCAGGAGGGAGGAAGGGGAGGAGAGAGATGGGGGTAGGGAGGGAGGTGAGAGAGACACATTGAGTGGTTGCTACCCACACGACCTCAACCAGGGCCGGGGACAAACTGCAACCGAGGTACGTGCCCTTAGCAGGAACTGAACCAGGGCCCCTCTGGTCTGCAGGCTGATGCTCTAACTGCTGAGCCAAACTGGCAAGGGCTAATTCTTCTTTTTAAAGAAATGTTTTTACATAATACAGTGCTTCAACACAAGCTCAACTGAATAGTCATCTTTCCCAGTTGGGGGATTGTGCATCTCTCTTCAGTGCGGTATTTTCCCATAGGCTATTAAAGGGTAATTTGACTGTTTTTTGGCCATTTAACTGTTTGGAACCTAACCTCCCCAAGAAGATTGGATCCCATTATACAGGACTGGGTATAGGGGGAAAAAAATTTTTTTTTTTGGTCTGTGTTTAGAAAGTCTCTGTTTGAAGTGCTACAGAAGTTGGGAAAGGATGGGTACTCATTTATTTGGTTCTATCTTTGTAGGAACATTTTTACATCCTATTTTTTTTTCTTCTAGTTGTGGCAATTTATGATTATACAAAAGACAAGGAAGATGAGCTGTCTTTCCAGGAAGGAGCCATTATTTATGTCATCAAGAAGAACGATGATGGTTGGTATGAGGGAGTTATGAATGGAGTCACTGGGCTCTTTCCTGGGAATTATGTTGAGTCTATCATGCATTATTCTGAGTAAAACTCAGCAGGGCCGTTTTCCTCACAGGAATAGTCAGGACTTCCCAGATTATCACAAGGCTCTGTGATTCCCCTCCAGTGAAGTGAATGATGGATACAAATATGATAAAAACTACTTATGTTCTTTTTCGGTTTATCCCCCAGTATTAAAAAAACAAGCCGAGTACGAACACATGGATCTTTCTGTCATCATTTGTACTATGCTGAGCTGTCTGGATTGAAATAAAGTGACCATTTCTGAATATGTTGGACGTATAACAGCATAAGTATATAAAAGAAATCAGGTTAAGACTGATTCAGAACAAAATCTGGGATTCTTTCTCAGGAATACTGTACACCTGTGGGATTTCTCCTGCAGAATCTTTGGCATTGGATGTTCTTCAGTGCCTGTGCTAAAGGGTTAGCCGCGTACCCCACACTTTCTTCCACTTGTATGAGGAGGGAACCAATATTTGAATACCATACTTAACCATTTTTAGTTGTTTCAGGTGGCTCATTTCCTCTCTAACACTGTAAATTCTGCGTTCTCTCAGCACCTGAACTAGTGCTGAACTGACGTGCATCACTTCATGTTCCTCAGTTTGTAGATTATGATGAAATGAGTCTCCAGACATTGAGGGTGGTTGATAATTGCGTTTGATTTTACTGTGCTGCTGCTGCATGAGACTGCATTGCCACCAATGGCCAGTACACCCAGATGTGTGAGGCAGGGTAGGCTGGCTCACTGCTGAGGTACGTGTGCGAAGCTACCTGTGAAAGTTCTTAAGGTTCTGAGATTGGAGAGTAGGAATGTGCCTTCCAACAGGCATCCTAAATTCTTGCCTTAGGTGCTGGTTTGAGGAATAGGATATCGTTAGACCAACTATTTCTTTACTTCTTCCACTATTGAGAAAAACATTATTCTTTTTGGGAAAAGAACTATTTTCAGGTTTCTTGATAGTCACTGGGAATAAAAGGCTTGCTACTGTGATCTTGGAATGATATTAATGGCCAGTGTTAGCTGTTGCTGCGTTGTTTACTCACTTAATTAGAAAAGGGAAATACTCTCATGATTTTGTGGTTGGCCTCCCTTGGTAAGAATTTGAACCTTGTGTCTCAAACTAAGAATAGAGGGATAAGGCCACATATTTATCCAGTTACATAAATTAAAAACTGCTAGAACTTTGAAACAGTCAAGTATTTTTTTATCTGCCCAGTTATAGCTTCAGGTGGAGTTTGTAAGTCAGATGGTTTTAATCATTTCTGTAGTCAGTATAAGTGTTTTAAAAATCCAGTGGGGGTGGGGCGGGGGGGGGGGCTTTGAATACTTGGTGATTAAGTAGCTCATGGTCAGGCCCAAAGCTGTCATGGGTTCTTCCCAGAACTAGTCAAGAAGAGAGCCCTGTCAGGTGACTTCCTTGTGCTGGGTCAAAGGGAATGGGCATTAGCTGTATATACAGTTGACCCTTGAACGACACAGGTCCACATACATGTGGATTTTTTTCAATAAATATACAGTCAGCCCTCTGTATCCCTGGATTTGCATCTGCAGATTCAACCAGATATGATTGAAAACATTATTTTCAATCTGTGGTTGGGAACCCACAGATGCAGATGACCAACTGTGTGCATTGTTTTATACCATTTTGTATAAAGGACTTTGGCATCCAAGGATTTTGGTATCTCTGTGTGTGTGGGTACGGGGTTGTCCTGGAACCAATCTTACACAGATACAGAGGGCAGACTGTATTTAAGTTTGGGGAGACAAAAGTTACATCTGGATTTTCAGTTGCTTGGGTCTCTGTGTCCCTAACCCTTCCTGTATTGTTCAAGGGTCAACTGTATTTCACATGTAAGCCTTGAACATGAGGTAGCATAGATAGAGAATCTTGATTGAAAAATGAACATGTGTAGTAGTGTGTGCAAGGGAATTCAGGTGGTGTAGGCAGAATATTCAACTTGTGAACTTACCTGAGCACAAAACTTCACCACCATTTAACTGAGACCCAGATGTACCATTCCCTTGTCAAGATTTTTGTTGTCAAGTTGCAGGACACCCTCCCTGCCAGGATCACAAGTCAGCTATTTTGCTTTTAGCTCTCTTCAACACTTTGAATTTAGCTGTGCCTCCATGCTTTTGTGAGGTCATCTCAACATCCTTTATTTGGTTTTCCTTTCAAGTAATGGCCCTGAGTGTCCTGAGCCTTCAGCTTTGTGAATGGACCCAACCAAGACTATACTTGGATAGTTTAAACTCCTCTAAAGTGTTGGTGTATAACTAGGAAAACTTTAAAAATTAGATGTTCCAATTGTTTGAATACTTTTTTGCTGAGAAAGCTTAGTGGACTTAAAAGCATATTTTGAAATCCAACAAATAGTACCATAGCTCCCGACAGCAGACAACTACAACAGGAGTCAGGTAGCCTGTTGGATTGGGGAGCGCAGAGGACACCAATTATGAAGACTGCAGCGGGGGTCCGTGGGTCAGCTGACTTTTTCTACATTATTTAGTACTAATGTGAGTGTGATTCTTTTTTGTTTAAAAAAATTGGATTTTCTGCCTACTTTGTTTTTGTACAGTTTTGAATTCTGTATATTGGAAGGATACTATGTAATGATAGGCCAGGCCTACAGTAATTGGAGACTTTGAATGTATGTAATATTTCCATAGATTGCATGCTATTAATAGTCTTTGAGAGTAGTATTTTATTGAGTTTGCCCATTTATCTTTTTATAAATGAGACGAGACAGTGGGCACTAGGAATTCCAAGTGAATGTAGAAATTTCACATGCTACATAATAGTGTGGCAAAGATGATCCATGTCTGAATCTGCTGACCCCAGTAAGCAACCATATTATCAGGACAGAGAATCTAATGGGAGGTAATTTTTTCCTTCTGAAACGTTCCTTTTTGACTTGCTGTCTACTCCCTACTCCCTTAAAAAATAAACACTTAAAAAGGAGTGACCTAAGAGTTTTTGTTTTTTTTGGTTTTTTTTTTCGGTATAACTGTTTGAAAGGCCGTGGTAGTATGAATGAAAATACATTTCTTATCATTGACCTAATGGCCAAGGCAGTAAATCTGAAATAAAAAGTATCAGCATGTCAAAATCTAGACCTGAGTGATTCAGCCTGCTGTTTGAAATACTAATCTTCTCTTCTTCAGTATTTTTCTGTTTTGGCTATTTGCGTTCTATCCCCCTCATGGGCACCGTAGGGTTGGCAAGGGCCTGCTAATTTTGCTGTTTTCCTAGAAGTCAGTAGGTGAGGTGTTTTACCCCTCCCTTTCCCCTTCTACTTCTGTTTATTACCCATCTGGAATGTTTTATTTGTCTTCAGTTATTTCTGTAATGTAGTTGTGTTTCTTGGCATAGTTTATGTCAATTGAGATGATTTACTTGAATTTTGTTTGAGAGGCATCGAAATGATGGTAGTTTGCTTTTATCCTTTTGTTTTTATTTTCTTTTAGCAGGTAACCTTTCTGCATTAGGAACTATTTTTAAGATCTTTTCTGCTTGGTGGAGAGCAAGGCCACCTTTGAAAAGGATTTGATGGAGGAATTGGCAGGTGACTGCCAAATCTTTAAAGGGGATCTGAGTCACTGCTGAACTACTTGGGCCAGGAACTCTTGATTGGTGATGATTTCCCTCACATGATTTTATGGATCATAAAATTTTAGAGCTACATGAGATTTTAGATCAATCTTATTTTACTGATGAGGTTAGAGGTTTTGTTTCAGGTAACAGCTAATTAATAATGGTAAAGTTTCCGACTCGGTGCCACTTGATACTCTTTCTACAAGTGTCTTAATTGAATTTTTTTCCTTTATTGATTTTAGAGAGAGAGGAAGGGAGAGGGAGAGAGCTAGAAACACAGAGAGGAGAACAGCGATTGGCTGCCTCCTGCATGCCCCCCACTGGGGGTCGGGCCCACAACCTGGGCATGTGCCCTGACTGGGAATCGAACTGGCGACCTCTTGGTGCATGGGTCGATGCTCAACCACTGAGCCACATCAGCTGGGTCTCTGAATGTTTCTTTAAAAGAGTTCTACTTGATGTCTTCAGGAAGGTACTTGAAAATATACGCTGTTTCAGTAAATACCACAAGTATTTAAACTTGTTTGAAGGAGTGTACTAAGTGCAACCCTAATTAGTGAAAAATCTTCATATTTAGCCCTTCTAAAACTATACTCAGAACAAATGACCTTTTCCATGAGGTATATGTGGTAAAAAAAAAAAAAAAAGACATTTCAATACTGGCAGGAGTATAGCAAACAGCCTTATTTGAGAGAGCCTTATAAAACACTTCTTTGTTAAAAAGGCATTGCGCTCATTACCTTAAGTTTACTTTATGCTGATCTTTGTTCCTATTTCTTACTGAGAATTGCATAGTTCTTAAAAAAAAAAACCAAACCAAAAACCTGACAAATGATACTTGCTAAATATCTTGACACTTTTTGTAAAAAAACCAAAACAAAGCTTATTTTCACATTAAAATGGAAACATCTTTTGCAACTTCAGAATTCTATGAAAAAGCAGTTTTTATCATATTTTATGTCCCTGCATCTTTTTTCTTAACAAAATGGTTTATATAAAAAGAACATAAACAATTTGTGATCTGGCCAGTTGTACTTTCAGCTCCCAGAGGGTTGGTGTTGAGTGAAAACCATGCAGGAAAACTTGAGGGAGGAGCAGCCTGTTGCCAGTGATGTTTTTTGGTCTGTGCCATTAAACCACCTCCTTGAGTGGGGGAGCATTCACTTTTTAATTTTGAAATTGTATTTGGAATTGTTGCTGTGTACTAAGAACTTGACCTAAATAAAATTCCACAAAGTATATCTCTAAGTGTCTTGTGAATATATTTATGCAAGTAACCCCCTTTTTCTCTCGAAGGTGGTATATAAATTTAAGTGTTGTAAATACATTAGAATACACCTTTATACATACCTTGACATAGCAGTCCAACAGAATTGTGATACCAAAGCTCACCAGTTTGTTAACCAGGTTCTTAATGGTGCCGATCCACAAACAGTCAAGTAACGTCCCCATGTTTAAATGAAATCTATGTATTCTTTTTATTAAGGATTGGGTAAGCTGACATAGTGAAAACATGTAACTGAAAAACAAACTTACACTGACTGTTATGACCACTGTCCTAAACCATTACAATACCTCACTGACAGTAACTGGCAAGAGTAACTTGGAAAATAACTTAATCCAGCAGTAGAACAAAAAACATCCATCAGTAGTACTGAATATATCTCTCTCATATATATCTATCTCTCTATATATATATATATATCTAGGTTTGCACAATCGGAGCAAGGCACGTAATGAAATGAGTGTACATTTAAACAGAAAAAAATAGCAACAAAGCTGAAAGAAAAATTGTAACTTCATCTTTACTGAACTGTGCATAATCGTTTGAATAATGTCTTCTATTGGGTACTTTAAAATGCAGTTCCTTTTGTCGTCTTTTTCATGCTTTAAAAAAGTACATTCCTATTTATTTATAGCAAAGCTTCCCACAGCCTACATGTCAATGTGAGTCTTGACTTAATTTTTAAAATAAATGAGAAAACGGAGCAATCCCAGTTAAGTATTATGTGCAATTTTCCTTTGAAAGAGTAAACAATGTTTTTACACCGTTTAGCACAAGCTAATGATATTTTATTTTAAATGTACATTTCTATAAAGAGTTCACTAGTGGCTGATAATAAAATTAAGCAAAATCATTTGAAACATTCCAGTTAATACTTATTTTCAAGAAAAGAAGAAAATATATAGGAGACGGCAATCATGGAAAATGGCAGTTTTTTGGTATTAGTTTACAATAAATTTAACAAACAGTGGACAGTTCCCAAAATGCAAATTTTTTTTCCCTTTTAAGTGCTGCAAGCATATTCTGCTCACGAAGAGGTTGAGGCTTCAGCATATACCAGCTTAGTATTAACAGCCATCAATGACCAACATACTCACTTCTGAACTTTGCCGTCTTTTAACTAAGTAGTATCACTGCCATCCTGACTCAGTTCACTTCTCTCGATGTCTTTGGTAGAAAGCAGCCAGTCCTTGTTTAGGCAGATGGAGCCATCTCTTGTGAGATAGTCACTTTTTCTATTTTCACGTAAACTAGAAATACTCACTTTCCTTCTCTTTCACTAGCACCTCAGAATCTGCTTGTTAGATTCTTTTTTTTTTTGTTAATGCTATTCCTCCCAAAGAGTTCAAGGCACTGGGGATTATAGCAGATGTTTTCTCTTCAGATGGTTTATTACTTCAACAAGCAAAGAGCAAACCAATTGGAGATCCTCCCACCCCAATCAAGTGTATTGTTTGCTTATTTTTATGTAGCAAGTTAACTTGACAGCTAAATATCAGATTTCTTGTACGAGGGTACAACAGAGCACTTGTTAAGTTTAAGGGACAGACTGGTCAGATATAGAAACATGTTTCTCTTTTTTTAAAGGGAAAACAAATATTAAAAGATAGTGGGATATTTAATTCTGTTCTACTTGCATCTCTGTGGATCAAATCTCAACTTTATGAGTAGTCACAGAATTAGGAGTATCCTTCTTCATATAAATGATATAAGTGTTTAAACCAAAACTCGAAAATGCCCAAATATACTTGCAATCTAGTGATTTTTAGAGCTAGAATTCTCTCATCAAGTGTATAAATCCAAATTATTTTTAATTCCTATTTCATTTAGAGTAAATCAGGGTCATTCAGGTTTACTTGGGTTCTAGACTGGAATGAAATCCATGAGATTACATCAGTTTTAACTTGTAGTTCTGCAGGCATATTAAAAATTTTGGTAGTAATGTATAAAACTAGGGAAACATTTTTTATATGTTTAAAATTACCTTGTGTTTTTAACATAAAATTGCTTTTAGGAGAGGAAGAAAGGTGACAAAAGGTTCCGTTGGTGACCTGACAGTCAGATCAAACCACATTACCTGAACATTTTTTCAGGCTAATTTATGACTTTACATTCTGACACAAGTTTATTAATTGTATTTTCCCAGAATTGCAGCTTCTGAAACCCTACCTAATTGGATGCACAGGCCCTGTTAACCTTGATCTGAGTTATACTGGAATTATTCATGATCCTCCAATTTTGTTTAAACTTTCTTGATAAACTCAGCACTGTTTTCAGTGGTAATGAATGTACATACAGAGGGGACTTCTAAGATAGCCCTTAGCAGAACTGCCATCAGTGGCCAGGAGCACCTTGATTTTAGAGGACTGGAAAACACTGTGTCTACATTACTTTGTTTGAAATTTTCTGATTAAAATTGTGTCCTACAGCTTGTAAGAGTCAGCATTCTTTTTCAATTTATACTTAAGTGGGTATCTGTAAAAACCATAAGAATGTTTTTTCCCCCAAGTGAGAATTATGGCTAAGAAAAAAAAATTCTTATTGTAAAAGCCAAGCTCAATATTGAATAGCCTAACATTTATATTAATACCTATAAACCTGTTGTAAGTTGTTGCTGACTTTCAGTGTTGGTACCAAAAGGTTAAACATAGGGTGATCCAATTTTGAAGTCATCTGTGGTAAGGTTAGGGTGTCACTAGCTCTAACAGGCACCTGTCTGCACTGCCCTCAATAGCAGGATGAATCGTCCTTACTGTTCATTTCCAGTCAGCTGTCCAGATGTCCTTCTCTGACTTGAAGATCTATGCTGGTTAGAGCTGCTGGGCAGGAGGCAGTGAATGAAGGCACAGAGCTAGCGTCTGGCAGTAGGGTTACCATGAACACACCAGAGAAAGGAGCAGTTACAAAAACAAGAGTAGTCTCAAAAACAAAACACCACCACCACAAAGCTACATCCCAACAAAAATCCAAATTAACAACAACAACCTAGTAGGGAGTTAAACACTGGAAGTATAATCTAAAGTGTTATTTTGTTTTTTGATTCAGTTTCACACACAACAAAGGAAAAAAAGTTGATTAATAGCTTTTCCCATCTTTGGAGAAATGTAAACAATCTGTTGTCAGACAAGCTAATGGAGTGGGGTAAAAATGACAGTTCCTCCTCTGACCTAGCTCTCTTCTTGGTGTCCTGTGTTGTTCCCTGTAGGAATGGGGGAACATCCGGCCCACGGGCTGTATAACGCCCTCAAAATCAGTACCAGCTCACATCACACGCCTCACCAAATTAGCCTGACCAAATATAGCAGGTTAATTATTAAATTGATAATTTTGTATGGCCCTGGAATGCTGTTATAAATATCCAAATGGCCCTTGGCAGAAAAAAGGTTCCTCACCCTGTAGGAAGTCTGCTTTTTCAGGAAAATGATACATCAAAAGCATCAGTCCAAGATGGTGTCATCAGCACTGACACAAGAAGTCCCAGGAAAGCCCCCACAAAAACAGGTTGTATCTTAGGGCTGAAATCACGGGTGAAGGAAGATAGATTGAGGGTACGTTATTCAAGTTGAAATTGTCTGTCTTCATGTATAAAAAGCTCCACCACAATAAAAATCCCTAGTGATGAATATATCATTGGATTAATTTCTTAACAGCTTTTTACCTCACAAATAAGGGTGATTTTTAGAATACAAAACTGCGGGTAGAGACTGAGAAATTACTTCACTCATGACTCACACTGGTGTTTGGCAATCTGTACTCAAATGTTACCCAAATTGCTGTGCTGCTTAAATTAGCAATGCAGATGTGTCCAAGGTCACTTCATAAGCATAACAATATCAAGCACACAAACCCTGTGAACTGAAAAGATCCAAAAAATATCTTTTAAAGATGTAGGGTTTTTAAAAATGCACAATGGTATATATTATTAGTGCTCTATAACCACATGAATATATTGAACAGTATCTTGCAGATTTGGCGATGAGAAGTACCACCTGTTCTATGATGGGGCACTTTGTTGGAGAGGGAGTTACACGGGTATCTTGTGTACACCACACACTTTCACTTATTGAATTACTATGTGCTCCACTGCACTGGCTCCTTTTTTCCTTACGGTACAGTGTCAAAGATGTCTGCAGTCTGCACTGACAACCCTGAGTCACTACAGGCAGAGACTTTCATTACAAGATGTGCTCACTTATTCCTGGGATAGCTAGTTTTTATTCTTTTGTTTAAGAGCAGTTCTGAGATTGCACTTTATTCCTAATGGTCAATTTATCACATTTCTCTCAGATACAAAAGAAAATTCACAGGAAACAAAAAAGCACATGAAGTGTGAAGTGACGAATACAGGACTAGTGTGTCATTAGAGCAATGATTTCATATTATGCCAAATTACACATGCATAATAAGTAATGTCACTTACTGTACCTGGACTATGCTACTCTCACAGAACCCCTGGTAACGTAGACAGATCTCTACAACCTGGCTGCTACAAGCAAGGATCCTAGCGTGTTCCAGTAACAAAATTTCATTTATTTCCCCCTCCTCCTATGATAGTCCCATACCTAAAGGAATTCTTTGTATTAACACATTGCAATCCATATACAACCTGATTAATGATACCTGCACAGGGTCCATTTTGTTTCTTTTTGTAATCACCCCAACCTTCGAGAGAGCAATACAGACATTTCAGAAGGTGATTTTGTTTTTTATAATGATGCACTGCTGGACACAGGATGGGTATATTTGATATAGCAACTGCCTACAGATACCTAAGATCAACTTCTACTTTAAAGCACACACTTCTAAGATAACTGGTGACCCAAAGACATACTGGACTGAACATTCCAGGGAATTGTGTTGGATATTCTCTCACAATGAGTCAAAGCAAGGACTCTGAAGCCAAGCTTCATGAAACTTCACAAAGTCCATGAAAGGATTCCAACAGTATAAAAAGAACTATCCAAGATCATAGTACTAAATTACACGTGTTGCAAGCAAAGAGCTTACCTGTGACAGAAGATATCCTAGATCAGGCGAATCACTGTAGCAGTACTGTCACTAGAATGGATTAGTTACACCATGTATTTACTTCCTACACACAACTGCATACAGTGTCTGAAATTTCCCATACTGCACTATGTACCCGTTCTATGAAGCTGAGAGATTTTCCTGATTAAAGTGCCGCTTTATGTATAGTAATGAAGTGTCAATCAAGCAGTTCTAACTTCAGCCAACTGGGAAAAAAAATACAAAAGCCCTACAGATATACTAAACATTGTGGTTGTCTTCTCAAACTGAGAAACAGCACATTATATATCTATTCCTTAATATATAATACACAACATGCACAGATAGCCGCACATGGAGACTTATAAAATTCCGTCTAAATAAGTCATCAGAAGTTTGTTTTTGGTCCAATCCACGACAAATAATAGAAATCATAAGGGACAGGACACACACACACCCTTTCCATGTCTCTTCTGCCCAAAATAAAATCCATTTTCAGATTAAAAGAGAAAAGGAATAAATAGAATCACTCCCAGTTATATATATATGTATATATATACATATACACATACATATATATACATACACTAGTTATAGCTATGTGTGTGTACATGTGTGCGTGCACACACAAACACACACAGCTGGACACTACCTGAATAACATACCAGAAGGCTCTGAACACCTGAATTCATAGATCAGATGAGCTGATTGTAGAACAGATTACAGATACCATGAAAATAAAGTCCTATGGTAGCTACCAGTCTCTTGAGAGCTTGGTGTTTTGGTCTCTCTTGGGAGGAGCGGGAGGGGGTCCTCTCCGCAAGGTTGCATAGCCTGATATATGACTGCCTCCATAACCAGCTTTCTGTTGATCAGAAAGCAGTTCAGGGGGTGGTGGGGGCAATGCCATGTCATCCATGGTGGCTGTGGGTTCTGCTCTGGACATGCGGGAGGAGGAGAGCGAGCCGTGCCGGGTGATGGACTTCCGTTGCAGTGTCCTGTTGAGGTCAGCCAGGAATCCAGGCTGGACACTAAGGCTGGATTTGGGAGAGGTGGGCACTTGTGGCACAACTGTGGTCAGCGCTGGCTGCTCAGAGACCTCTGCTTGAGTGAGGCGGGTGCTATCATTCCGTTTGGGTCGCGTGGGTGGAGGGGCCTTCTTCACTGACGTTTTGGACCACTGCTGTGGTTGAGGATTAACTACTGCCACTTTTGGAGAAATGTTTCCCAAGAATGCTGCAGGGATATCTATGGGGGGCAGAGGAAGCTCTATTTCAGGTGGAGGGGGTGGAAAGTCAGAGTCTGATGGAGGAGAAGGAAATTCTACTATGGACTCCTTGCCACGCCCACTCAGGACAGATGCTTTTGCTGCCACACACCCCTGTTGGAGAACTCCAGGAAGGTGAACTCCAGAAAGATTTAGTTTTCCAGGTTTGGGGGGCGTTGCAGGAGGTGGTGGGGCCTCCTTGTTGGGAGACCCAGAGGGTTCTGGTGATGCAAACTTGCTGACTAGACTGTCCACTGAGGGTCTCTTAGGCTCAGGATGCTCTGCACAACTGCTGGACTTGATGCTGGAGTTTCGCTGTGGGGTTGGGGGAGGTTTCTTTCCCCCAGGGCTGGATGTTTTACTGGTCTTTTTGCCTGGAGATCCACTTTTGTCAGAGGCAGGAGAAAATGTAGGTGTGGATGGTGGTGGCAGTGGGGCTGGGGGTGGGGGTGGGGGTGGTGGTGGTGGAGGAGGAAACACCAGGCTGCTTTCAGGAGGAGGAGGAGGGAAATCTGGAGAAGGGACAGGGACCGAACTGGGCTGCCACTTGGGTTTTGCTTTAACAGCAGGAGGGGACTGTGGGGCTATATGTGCTGTGAGGGGCTTTAAGGGCTGTGACTCCATGGGGGGAGGAGTTGGAGGTGGGGGGAACTGGCTGGCTATCTGCTTCACTATAGAGGGCACTGGAGACAGTGGAGAGGGAGGTGGTTTTACACTGAAGCCCTGATGCTTGGGTAATGTGGGTGGGGGGACTGGACCAGGAGCAGCTGGAGAGGGTGGAATGTGAGGGAAAGCCGGCTGCTTCTTCGTTGGGGGGACTGGAGGAGTAGGTGTAGGTGGAACAGCCTGTGTGGCAACAGGGGGTACAGTCTTGGTGCTGGTTGATGGCAGGGTCACAAGAGGTTTAGGAGGGGCTTGGGGAGGGACAGGAGGAGGGGGGGGGTGGGGGTGTTGGAGGAGCTGCTTGAATAACATGCTGAACATGATGAATCTTCAAAGGAGGAGGTGGGGGGCTGAACTGTGGAAGGGACTGGGCGCAAGGTGTGGGTTTTAGCTGGGCCATAGCAGAGCCAGGGGTAGGGGGTGGGGGAGGGGGTGGGGGTGGGGGTACAACTCCGTTGGGGGGCACCGGGATCTGAGGCTTCGCTGGCTGTGAGGTCGAGGACAGAGGCTGCATCACTGAGGGTGGTGGAGGCTTAAACAGAGTTCCTGAATGCTGAGAGGCGTTCTGCAGCCTGGTTATCGTGCTGTACTTGACAAACATTGTGGCTGCCGAGCCCCCAGAAGGTGTAGACTGGCTGGGCAGAGGAGGGGGAGGTGGGGGTGGAGGGGGAGGCGGAGGGGGCGGGGGCGGGGGCGGGGGCGGTAGAGGAGGCGACGGCTGGGAGGCGGTGTATGGGTTGACTAGTTTAGGTTGTGGGGATAAAGGGGGCATGAGTGAAGTGTAGGATCGATTCACAGACTCCATTCTGGCCTAAAAGGAGTATGGGGGGTAGGGTGAAAGAGAAAACACAACAAAACAGTTACAGAGGTCAGCTGTGAATAAGTAAAAGTAAAAAGGAAGGACTCGGGACGTGCGTGGAAAGATGCAGCAGCTGTGATCATGAAGATGAGCAAGGCCACAAAGGCTAAAAATTCTGACTCCCTGGGCCACATGGGCACAGGGGAAATTCATTTATCCAACAATATTTTTAAATAGCTAGACTGTTTAATAATCTAGGAACAATTTCCTGCTGCAAATGCTGTTTACATGGTGACGGGTTGTCCTGAAGGGGAGCCCTCCATGGGGGCGCTCCAAGCACAGGACCAGACCAGACCCTGTGAAGGGGACTGTGATGGCTCAAGTTCACTGTTCAGTCCATGACTCATCTACATTGAGCAGATGCCACAGCTGGGTTTAGGAATGCTGGGGGAAGGCCTCCTGGGGAGTGAGGATGGCTTTTTGATGCTAATAAGCTGACACGTGAGAGTATGAAAAGTGTCAGCAGGTGTCACACAGGTATGAATGAGCTTGACACATACACTCGTGTTCATGTGAGAACTCGCATCCAGCATGCACAGAAGTCCAACAATGCAGGTAAAGAAGGGGCATTCTTTACCTCTGCTTTACTGGAAAATACATAAAGAAATGCTTCATAAACATTACAGCCAAAGATCATACCAATATTATACAGAAAAAGCCAGAAGAAAATGAGAAGAAACTTTAGAAGGCTAGAGCAAAGTAAATGTACCAAGAAAGGGGAGCTAGAGCCCTGCCCGGTTTGCTCAGTGGTTAAGGCTACGAACCAAAGGGCAGTAGGATCGATTCCTGGTCAAGGGCATGTGCCTGAGCTGCAGGTTCGATCCCCAGCCTTGGTCAAGGTCATGTAGAAGGCAACCATTTGGTGTCTCTCATGTGAATCCATGTTTCTCTCTATCCCTCCCTTCCACTCTATCTAAGAATCAATGGAAAAATATCTTCAGGTGACGATTAACCAAAAAAAAAAGGGAAGGGGGAGCTAGAATTTGCCAGCAACTTGTTGACCAGTCCATTACCACATCTGGTCATTTATTTCATGGAACTACTCATGCATGAATGTGGTTCAAATATGTTTGAAAAGAGCAAAGGAAGGACCCTTGTTTAATAACTTTAGGTACATCTTTTAGGCTCTTTGAACATCCTACATCCGATGAGGATCCAAGATCAACCGTTTGTTTTTAGTTATGAATGACATCTAATTAGCATGTAGAAAGCTTAGGTTAGTGAACTAGGAGGCTCATTACAGGGCTGAATTCTAATGTTCATCAGGACATTCGAATGTTTCTTTAAAAACTGCACATCAAAGTAAAAGCATTAGTCTGCCAAACTTGGTTACAGGAATCACCCAGGTTAATGTGTTTCCAAAGAACAGCCCCTGACCTTATCTTGTCCCTGTCCTGGCTGCTGCAGGGGTGTAGACCTTAGCTGTGCTGGCCTTCTCATTTGGCACCCGAGACTGAGGTAACAGAAGAAATGGGGATCAAGACTCAAACACACCATCACTGCAGCACGGCAGGGTTCATGCTCTTTCTGAAACTGCAGTGACACTGCCCTACTTCATCACAGAGCATTCAAATCTGTGTTTCCCTTGGCCTTTCATTCCAAATGCACATGGATAACACCATTAAAAATTTAGTGAGGTAAAAACTTTTCTTCAGATGTCTGAATTGTGTAAACTTGCTTCTCTACTACATACATTGAGTTAGTACCAGAAAGCGGGCTACTCCATCCAAATTCAGTGGGAGAAAAAAGAGAGGACTATTTCTTAAAGTTTCAGCCTCTGACAAGGGAATTGGTTAAATATACCACTGTTTTGAGAACTTAGATCATCAGAACCAATTCTCAAATATTTACTTCTAAGAGACCTTGACAATGATTACTAACGCCTCCTCCACCCTCCCAAGGGCCAGTTAACTAGATATTCAAATTAAGGAATAATCTAAGGGGTAATAACCATTTAATTCTCATTGGTGAATGCACTTGTATAAGTGATTCAGATTAAAAGAATGAAAAAAATAAAAATCATTATTGGGTAAAAACAAAATGGTCAACCCTGGCCGGTCTGGCTCAGGGGTTGGAGCATCGGCCTGCAAACCAATGAGTCGCAGGTTTGATTGCAGTCAAGGGCACGTACCTCGGCTGTGGTTCATCCCTGGCCCTAGTCTGGGTTGTACGGGAGACAACCAGTCAATGTGTCCCTCTCATGTGGATGTTTCTCTCTCCCCCTCCCTCCTACTCTATCTGAAGATAAATAGAAAAATATCCTCGGGTGAGGATTAAAAAAAACATGAGATGGTCAGACAAGGTGGCCGCTGGGTCCGCAGTGGTAGTGAGAGCTCAAGCCTACCAAGAGGGTGAATCCAACTAGGACATGTCCTCACCCACAGAACTTCAGTGGCAATTTGATATAGGTTTTCAACTGTTTAAAGAATGTCTCCATTTTCTAACTAGTCTTCCAGTAACTATTCTCGTCCTCCAGTGCCACTGAACAAGCTACTGTGCAAGGCTCAGGGATCCAAAAATTTAAGGGGATTAATCTGAATGTAGCCATCCACATATACAATAATTTGAGAAAATTCATCAATGCCAAAAAGAATAAAAGAGAGGAAGATAAAGTAATGAGTCAATAAATTAAATTAATAACAAATAAAGAAATAACCATTAGCAGCTTCTCTGGAACAAAATTAGGGCCCTGGCTCTACATTATGTTGCTCTATCCAAATTTGTTAAGGAAGAAAGAAACTGTTATTTCTTAAAAATGTGAGCCACTGAGAAAGAGTTAAACTGGCAGGGTATTTTGTTGTGGTTTTTTTTGAGATCTTAGGTCACTAAAGCCCATTCACAAGTATTCATTTCTGAGGAGAAATCAAAGAAAGAATACAGATATAGAGATAGGACAGTCCCAAAAAAGGAATAAAAAGGAACAAGTTAACCCCATGGAATACCACAGATTTTTCTAGATCAATTAACACACGTGTGTTACCTTGCTGGACTCTTCCAACTGAGTGCCTCGTTTCCAGGCTTCAGAGAAGATGGAGCTCACAATGCTCTGGGAACGGACATGTCCTGCTGGCTGGGTGTCAGATACTCCGCTATCAGACTGAGTAGAGTGATTTGACTGAGACTCTGTTTAAAACAGATTTTTAAAAACAAGATTACATAAGTCAGTATTCTGACAGTATGAACATGTACATTCAGATACATCTTTTACATAAGACCAGGGGCTATACAGAGAGCAACAAGGTACCTTTACTTATTTCATATAAAGCACGGCCTGTAATTTCCACTAGAAAGCTCCTCTTACCGTAGAAGCTAACAGGAAATCTTGATTCTTTTAAAACAGTGCACAATGAGAGACTGATAATTACAATAAATGGCATATAACATTATTGGTATCCTGACAGTCTGTCTTGGAAGAATTCCTAGCAAATAAGAAAATGAACCATCAATAAAGGAGTGAATTTTTTTTTCAATGCTCACCCGAGGATATTTTTCTACTTATCTTCACACAGAGTGGGAGGGAGGGAGGGAGAGAGAGAGAAACATCCATGTGAAAGACACATATCGACTAGTTGCCTCCCACACAACCCCAACGAGGGCTGGGATGAACCGCAACTGAGGTACGTGCCCTTGACTGCGAATCAAACCTGCGACTCATTGGTCCGCGAGCCGACGCTCCAACCTCTGAGCCAAACCAGCCAGAGTGTGAATTTTTTTTAAAAATTGTATCTTCATTACATCGAGATTCAATCTTTTAATATATCCCTTCTCCAGGTCATCCCAGAGGTTTCACTTATGAATTTAGATCTACACATGATCACAATATCCTTTTTCCCAGCAATGAACAGTTCTTAGAATTTGACCCCCAAGTGAGAAGTGTGTTTCCTATGGATTCAGTTATTGGCACCACAAGGCAGGAGCCGCACTGTTAGCCTGGCCTCTGGCAAAGCATAAGGACAAGTCTGCAAGGGAGCTGGGAATGGCTGAGGATGCAGTGTCATTTGAATGACTCCTAGGGTGATGGAAATGGGATTATTTTACTGGACTCCAAGTCAGGTAAGACAACCTTGCAGAAGCACCTAGCTCAGTGCCAGACATCTGGTAGAGACTCAAATGTTATAGCTAGTCCTATCCAATCACTCTGTGAGACGTAGATATTATTAGATTGCCCAAGATATTGTCCCCTCTAGCAAAAAAAAAAAAAAAAAAATTTAAAAAGCTCATATACCTATTTATTATAATTTAGAAATTAGCTATGGCTCTGGCTTTTAAGGATCATGATGAAGTAACCAGGTCTACTAGGATTCTAGAGACACCTTCATGTTGCTAATAAACAGTGCTTTGGGCATTTCATATTACCTGGGATGCTGGAAGAACTGGATCCTGATTTAATGCTGGAGCTGGATAAGGAAGTCCAATCACAGGCAGACTCTGTCCTCTTCAAGGCTTCTTGATAGTTCATGTATAGCTGCTTCCCATACTAAACAGAAGGCAGTCAATGAGGACATCTGAACTTTACAGGGGGCAAGGCGGGAAAGGGGACACATTTCTCTTTACTTGTTAGTAATTAAAATTAATACCTATAATCCTTCAAAAATACTTTTAATACCAGTAAATTATAATCTATTCTTATTTTTCCTCATTTTTACAAAGGCAGCAAAAAGTAAACACTTGATTGTATTCATTATCAACATAAAGATTTTTTTCAGTTATTCCTCAAGCAACTTTGATTTTATACTTATATTTTCTTTCTAGTTACTTAGTAGGCATAACTATTCCTTCAAGTACTATACGTAATCATCTTCATGACGTCCTTTAAAACATTGTTTTTTTTATCCTCACCCGAGGACATTTTTTTCCCTGATATTTTGTTCAGATAGAGTGGGAGGGAGAGAGAGAGAGGGAGAGAAAAACATCGACGTGAAAGGGACACATGGAGTGGCTGCCACCTGCACGACCCAACCAGGGCCGGGAACAAACTGCAACCAAGGTACGTGCCCTTAGCGGGAACCGAAACCAGGTCTCTCTGGACCACAGGCTTAGGTTTGTCTAACCGCTGAGCCAAACTGGCCAGGGTTCCTTTAAAACATTTTTTAAGACTTACTTTTTCATAGAGCAGTTTTAGGTTCACAGCAAAACTAAGAGAAAGGTCCAGAGAATTCCCATGTACTCCCAACCTCTAAACATGCATAGCCTCCCCATTACCAACATCCCCGACCAGAATGGTACATTTGTTATAATCAATGACCCTACATGAACACATCACAATCACTAGAAGTCCACAGTTTATCTTTGTAAACTCTTGGTGTAATACATTCTATGGATTTGGACAAATAAACAATGACTTGTACCCATCATTACAGTATCATATAGAGTATGAATAGTTTCACTGCCCTAAAATTCCTATACTCCACTTATTCATCCATCCCTCCCCCAATACCAAGGCAATTTAATTTTCAAAAAATGTCGTTTGTCTAAGCTAAACTCTGCTATATAAGAATCACATAACACATGCTCAAAGCCAAAATAAATCACTTTGATGCTACACAAGCTTTTACCAGTATTATTCCATAGATACCAATTGTTAAAAGTTTATGCTTATCAACAAAGAAAAAAAGACATTTAAAATATAAGGCCCGAGGTGGGAATGGGGAGGAGGGGGAGGTCAATGGAGGAAAAAAGGGAGGACCATCTGTAATACTTTCAACAAAATAAAAAATTTTTTTCAAAATAAAGTTAAAACAAACAAACAAACAAACAAAAAAACAGCCTGAGAAAACTAGACACTGGCAAAATCATATGAAACAAGAATAAGTGTCATGACAATCAAAGCCATATAATTAAAAACCTCATTATTCTGTCATCAAACTCCCAAAAAACTTACCTTTGCAATGCGAATACCATTGACCCACTGGTGCAGGGTCCTCACATCATCACAACAAAGGTATTTGATGTACTGAGATTTCTTCTGGATCTGTGGATGCTACAAGATTAAAGACAACGTCCAGCTAAGTCTGCTGGAGAACTAAAGGAAAATAAATGCTGTCAAAGCTTAAATCTATCCTGACAAGTTATAGGCCATCAGAATAATGGCCAAATAATGTATACCTCTCGTATGGCCATAAAGCCAAATAAAATGGCCCATAAATAATATTTACAAAATAAATGAGAAAGAAAGTTGTGCTGAATTTTAGGTCAAGGTATCCCCAACTTAAAAAATACCTTCACATCATGGAAAATTCCCAAATACCCCTTCTACATTTCAAACAAGTCCATCAGGGGTGACAGTCAGTAGAATTCTTAATCAATAAGACTGAAAAAAGAAAGAAAATGTTTGATTTCATTTTGAACCCATAGAAAGGGGTTCAGAAGACTCCAAACAAGAGTCTCTGGGAGAAGCTTCCAGTTTCTCCGGAAGTGAACAGCTGAGCGGGCTGGACTAAGCACAGGGCATAGCACCTGGGACAGATGTGGGCACTCCCACCTGTTGCAGCAGGGCTCTCCCTGAGGACTAAGCACTGCTCCGCAGGCCCCTCTACCACAGCACGTGCATTCCAGGGAATAAGCAGCTTTGCAACTGCCTCACCAGATTTAGTTTTCACAACCTAATGTACTTTTCAGTTGAGGGTTGGATGGGAAGTGACTGACCCAACCTTGAATACAAAATCCAAGTGCTAGAACAGACTTAAGGTATTTTAACTCCCCTGGGCCACAACCACTAGTTTCCTGGGAAGAAAAACCCCAAATCACACTAAACATGATTGTTACTACTTCTCTTTTTAGTTATTCTGAAAAAAAATTTTTAAGTGGCTATATTTTTACCTGAAGTATTTAAATTTATGTTCAATTATAACGAGCTTTAAAAATTTTCTAACCATATTCATTTGTAGTGGAAACCCATGAAATCAATAAAATAAATTTGAATAAGTTATCAATGCAGCAAGAATAGGTGGTCATCATTATAAGTAGTGCATCTGCATTGTTAAAGATTGATCTCTCTGGTCTACAATGAGAGATGTATAAATTCATTTATTCATTCTATTCTATATATCGCTTTACAGAGCTCAGCTCCTATGATAAAACATTAATATCAAAACTAATTTAGTTACTGAAAGCTACAGTCAGTTTTAACCATAACCCCTCAACAATAAGAGGTTAACAAAATAATACCTAATAGTTTTTCTCCTGATAATACAGGCTCCACAGCCTTCTCTTAGAATATATGTCCTTGTCCTCATTAAATCACATTATAATAAACCACCACAGCAATCTTGAAAGAGTATAAGAGGACAGGCAGAGGAGTATGTATTTTTCTATAAGAGGAAGAAGATAAATTTTTTTCAACCTCACTCAAGGACATTTTTCTATTTATCTTCAGACAGAGTGGGAGGGAGGGAGGGAGAGAAACATCGACGTGAAAGGAATACACTGACTGGTTGCCTCTTGCATAACCCAAACCAGGGCTGGGGACGAACCGTAACCGAGGTACCTACCCTTGACCAGAATTGAACCCGCAACTGAATGGTCAGCAGGCCGATGCTCTAACCACTGAGCAACCCGGCCAGGGCAGGAAGAGGAATTTTATCTCATTCATTCAACAAATTTTTATTGAGCTAGAACTATTTGCTATATACTTCAAGTAGATGTTGGGATACAATGTTGACAAAACAGAAAGAAGAGACATAGTTTGTGCAGAAGACAAAATAGGCTGAATGAAAAAGCTTTCTTTAGTGTGGCCAATTAGGACTAGAAGAGCTAGTCTCTGTCTCCCACTTCCTTGAGACACTGCTCACTGAGCAGGGTTCAGACATTTGAGTAAGAGGCCATAGGATGGCCCTCAGCCTGTATCCCCACTCCTCACTTATGGTGATTTACAAACCATTCTTGACTGCTTCCCTCCATTTCCTGAAAGTACGGCTATCACCATGGGTGTTCAACTGTAACCGTGGACCTGCCTGAAAGTGTGTATGTGTTCGCTTTGTTTTTTGTTTTAAATCCTCACCCAAGGATATTTTTCCATTTATTTTCAGCTAGAATGGGGGCGCAGAGAAAGAGAGGGAGGGAGAGAAATACTGATGTGAGAGAGATACATCGACTGGCTGCCTCCAACGGGACCCCGACCAGGGTTGGGGACCAAACAGCAACTGAGGTACATGCACTTGACTGGAATCGAACCCACAACTAACTCTTTGGTCCACGGGTCAATGCTCTTAACAGCTGAGCCAAACTGGCCAGGTCATGTGTGTGCTCTCTACACAAAGGGAGTGTTTTTATCAACAGAACATCAGTGAAAATTAAAGAGAAATTATCCTTTATTATTCTCTCATCTCGCTAACCTGATAATCAAAGTAACACCCTAAAGAGTATTATGATATGATTATTTGAGTATTTGCAGATTACTCATTAGTTTAAAATTCATGTTAGGATCTCAAAAATTCTTTTTCAACCTCCCATGTAATAAAGGTATTCATTCCACAGTCTTCATTATGATCATTTAGGCTCTGTGCCACTATCTCAGGAGAATGCCCATTCCACTAATAATATTGTTATTTATTAAAAGTGGCATTTATGGAGGACTTACATGCACCAGCATTGTTAAAATATTTCACACATATTAGCTCATTCCATCCTCACAAAAATCCTATGAGTTACATATGATTACTTTCACGATCTGAGAAGAAATGGAGGCACAGAGGGTTAAGACTACAAAGTTATTTGCCAACCACTGAAAGAACCAGGATTTGAAATCAGGAGATCTTGTTTCAGGGTCCATGCTATTAAATATTATGTCATACTACTGCCTTGTACGTGATGAAATCTTTCAAATTTGCTGCCTCTCTTCTCTTTTCCCCAAATATTATTCCACCACTTTTAAAATTATACACAAGCTAAGAACAAGTATGGAGAAGACATTCTTTGCTAAAAATCAGAAGTTTCACATTTAAATTCTTAAACACTCCAAAGAGAACATATAATGAAATTGCTCCCCAAAACAAATGAATAGCTATACTGAAAGAAAGGTCATTATTTCATTTCTAAAATGATGTTGATTTTGAAAGTTTGCACCCTAATAAAAGGTAGAGATTTTGAGAATTAAATAAAAACATTAAAAAATATACTAAGAGCCCTGGCCGGTTTGGCTCAGCGGTTAGAGCGTCAGCCTGCGGTCCTGAGAGACCCGGGTTCGGTTCCCGCTAAGGGCGCGTACCTCGGCTGCAGTTTGTCCCCGGCCCTGGTCGGTTGTGCGGGTGGCAGCCACTCGATGTATTCCTTTCACATCGATGTTTCTCTCTCTCTCTCTCTGTTCCTCTCTCTCCCTCCCACTCTACCTGAACAAAAAATGGAAAAATGTCCTCGGGTGAGGATAAAAAAAAAAAAAAATACACTAAGAAATTCTGGATTACTATTGCACTATTTGATTAGTTTTCTCTGATTAGTTTATGCCAAAAATTAGATTGAGACTGATTATTTCTAAAATTCTATAACTAAAAGTGATGCTCTAAAATCCCAGTCCAAGTGCCAAAGGAAAACTACTGAATGTGTACTAATCATTTATTACTTTGGAAACACACATAGGCTTGAAAATCAGTTCCATCAATTAACATGCAAGAAGTTAAACAATAAAAATATGTAACAGACCACCCACTCTAACACCTTTGACTTTCTAAACCTCAAAAAAAAAAAAAAAAAAAAAAACCAAGGAGGGAGAAAACCCCTTAGAACTAACAAAAATATTCTTTTTTTTAATCCTCACCCAAGGATATTTTTACATTAATCCTCAAATAGAGCTGGAGGGAGCGAAGGAGGGAAGGGGGGAGGAGAGAGAGAAAGAGAGAAAGAGAGAGAGAGAGAGAGAGAGAGAGAGAGAGAGAGACATTGATGAGAGAGACACATCGCTTGGTTACCACCTGCACAACCCCAGCTGGGGCCGGGGACGAACCACAACTGAGGTATGCGCCCTTCGCTGGAATCGAACCTGGGACTATTTGGTCCGTAGGTGAAGCCATACTGGCCAGGGCAACAAAAAATTCTTAACCTAAGAATTTTATAAGCTGCAAAAAGAATTAAAATAATACTACAATAAATAACAAGAGTTGGCAAGGATATGGAGATTGGTGGGATGATATGTTGGTGCAGCCACTATGAAAAACAGTATGGAGGTTCTTCAAAAAATTAGGAATACAAGTATCATATGATCTAGCAATCCCTCTGCTGGCTATTTATCCAAAGAACATGAAAACACTAATTTGAAAACATACATGCACTCCTATGTTCATTATAGTATTATTTATAATAGCCAAGATATGGAAACAACCTAAGCATCCACTGACAGATGGGTTTTCTGGGTCACCATGTGATGCCTCAAACTGCAGTGGCCATCTGTGGCTATGGGGTGAGCCAGCCTGAGAATAAGCTAATATGCAGAAGATGGAACAGGGAATGAGGGAAAGCATTTGGGTTGTCACTGACAATCTGAGTCATTTAAAATAACCAATTCTTACTGCCCTCATGTTATGAGATCCCCAAGTAACTTTTATTTCTATGGGTTATGATTGATATTTACTTTATAAGAAACTAAAACTTAGAAAAAATTAAAATACAAAATATAAAAATACACATTCCACTACCCAAGAAAGCAAAGACATCATCACATCATGCAACCTCTTTGAAACTCCACTATATATTTGTGAAAGAATGCGAGTATAAAAGGCAAATAACATCTTAGCATTATTAGAAGAGCAATTTTGGTATTATAGACCCCTTGTCAGGTCCTCAGGGACTCCCAGGGGACCTTGAACCTCATTTTGAAAATTGCTGGATTAAGCTTTTTTTTTACTGACTTTTTAAAAATTATTTGCTGTTACACACAGCTGGTGTGGCTCAGTGGTTGAGCATCAACCCATGCACCAAGAGGTTGCTGGTTTGATTCCCAGTCAGGACACATGACTAGGTTGTGGGCCAAAACTCCTGTGAGGGGCAAAC